AAAAAAGAAAACAACAACAACAACAACAAAACCCTTTAGACTTCCTCTCTTGGCCTCAAATCCTTGTGTTCTACTTATGACACAAGAGCAATTTTCCTCAGTTGTGTCCCTTGCCAGTGGTGTGCAGGCACCAGCTCCACCACCGACATCCTCAGCCCCTTCTTATGTGAGGACTGGGTACCTCAGGCTATCTTTACAGAGAGCAGCCTATGACTTTCCAAGAATTTTTCAGCCCCCTGCAAAGTTCAGAAAATAAAGGGTAAAAAAAAAAGGTATATGTGTGTGTGTGTGTATATACATATTATATATACACACAAAATCCCCAAGTTCCCCAGGCTCAAGTAGATGATAGTTATGTGGAAAACACGGCATCCTGTTCTCTCTCTCTTCAGAGCCTATTTTAGTATTGAGAAACGGGGATCTCTCCCAGATCTCCTTCTGGCCGCCTGGCCTGTGCCAGCTCGCGTGCCAAGAGCGATCACAACCCCGCGGCGCCAGGAGCGCCGCAGGAAGGAAGCCCTTCCCCGAGGAGCTGCCTTCATGAGGGCAAGCCGCTCTCTTCGCTCTTGAGACTGCACCACCACTTCATTTCTGGGATTATCTGAAAAGGGTGTTTAGGAGAACATCAGAACGTGGCTACCAAGGACAGCAGTGCTTGACACGGCAGCAAAGGCACGTTCCTTGCCTCATGGATCCGCACTTCCCTGCGCCAGTTTAAGGCAAAGGCGACTGGCCCTGCCCGCGACCTTCTCCTTCTCTTCACACCTCCACCTCGCGAGGCCGAACCCGCGCGCGGGCCTCCCCTCCCGCTGCGGGGCACGAGAAGCCTGCGGAGAGCAGGGCCTGGCGGCTGGAGGAAGGTAAGGCCCGGCCCGGGGCTGAATTCCCCATGGAGAAGCGCGGCCCTCAGCCGCCCCGGCCGTTACGAGCCGCAGCCGCCCTGACGCGGCGTCAACCGCCCTCAGCCGCCCCTCCCCCCCGCCGCGCGGTTTTGGCGGGAAGGCGGCGCCCGGCCCGGCCCGGCCCCGAGGGCGAGGGGCCCGGGCCCGTCTCCCGCCGCGCCGCATCCTCACCGCGCCGTCGGGCTCCATGGGGCTGCGGGCACGTTCCCGGCACGCGTGCGGCTCCTGGGCGGGCGGCGGCCTCGTGCCCGGCCCGTGAGCGCCGGCGGGGCGGGCGGGGGCGGCGGCGAGCGAGCGGCCCAACCGCCGGCGCCCCGGGCGGGGGGCGGCTCTGCGCGCCTTGATAGCCGGGTTGAGGAACGGCACCCGGCCGCAAAGTGAGCCGGGAGGGCGGGAGCGCGCCGCGGCCGGGCGCCCCCCGCCACCTGCTGGCGCTGTCACTCAGCGCCCGCCCGCACCGCGGTAAAGCGAGGCCGCCCGGAAAGCCGCGGCCGCGGGCCGCGTTTTAACGGCGCCTGTACCACGGGCTTGAGCCGGGATTTGCCTCTCGTTTGGCCCTACTGTGTTTCCTTCATTCAAAAGAAACAATGCTGAGCTTGACATTGACAAGCTATAGCTTTTCAGCATTCTTTAGCAGTTGTCATAATATTATATTTTACCTAGTCCATTGAACTGCATGTAAAATACTGCAGACAGAAGTAAATGAGCAGAAAAGACTGAAAACAACTGACATGTACTATGAAACACGAATGCAGGCGAAATTACTTGCAGGAAAGAAGTATCAAGCCTTGTTTGCGCTACAAGTGTAAAGGTCTGTGCAGGTTAAGTGTGATTTAATACCACTTTACACCACCATCATGTTAAAGAGGTCCTCTTATAAGGTAAGGAGCTACTTTGCCTCCTAATTCTTCTGATGGTCATCAGGAATCTCATTGTAAATAGGATATTGCTGATATGTTCCCCGTTCTTGGGGGGAAATTTTTAAGAGTTGTGTTGTGATTCTCCTTATGGTATCTTGGGTCCAGTCTTTCAATAAGTCAGGAGCTTTTCTCTCCACCAACTCCAATAATTTAAAGCACCTCATGTTAGTATATTAGAAGAGCATTTAAGAAGAAAAACTTATTGTCCATTATATCTTTTTCTTTTTTCCCCCTTTTTCTTTGGTGCAATTGGTAATTTATGCCTTGCATGCATTTTTCTCACACTCAGGTAAGGCATTTTTTTCTGTTTTAGCATATATCCCACACTTAGGGAAGAATTCTTGAATTACTACATGCTTCTGTTCCTTTTGTTCTATGACCTGCTCTTCAAAACTTTGCACATATAAGTGAAAAGTGTAACATAATTGCCACTGTTTGGAAACACTATTCTGAATAGTTGAACACAGAAGTAAAATAATCCCCCATTACTTCCCCTTTTGTCTTTCCCACAAGAATTTCTATACCTCGTGGAACTGTATATAGAGTATATGTTGTACGCGCTCTGTATTACTGGACAAAGAGCATCCCAGTCTCTATCTTTGTTCTGTGAATGAAGAACTTCTGTAGTTGCAGTTCCAGCTTGAAACAGTTCAGGATGGTTATCAAACATACGAAGAAATGTTGTCCTTTAGCAGAGTTACCTACCTGAGAGGAGTCAAAAGAGAACTAGAACAAGATGAAGGTAGATGGGTATAAGGAGAAAGGCATATACGTTATGATTTAAATTACTTTCCATGCAAGTTGTTTGAAATCAATATGGTATTTAATGGTGCAAATGCAAATTGCAACTATACATTACCAATTACAGAGATGAGAATAGTACATTTTGAAACCTGAGACTTTGATGTCCTGTTTTAGATACTTGGCTTCTTGTAGTTACTATTCAATTTTAGAGAAATAAGCCTGGCAAACTTTATCTCTTTTTAGAGAAATAAACCCGGCACACTCGATCATAATCTAATTCTATAGTTACATAGAATATTCTTTCTGATCTCAAGTAAGTCTGCACAGAACGTCCTTTTCTCTGTAACTTTCTACTATTTCTTAATTGTTATTAAATAAGTAAAGATCAACAGGAACTTAAAGCAAAAATCGATAGAAGGGATCACTTATTGTTCCCCCCTCAAATTAGGGTTGTTTTTTGTATCATAAAAAGATTTTTCCATATTAATGTTTCATTTAGGATCATATTTTATACAATCATTTATTATGCTTCTATGAGTGATTAGAGAATATTTGTCCTTTCTTTTTTTTTTTTTCTCTATATATTTGTATTTCAGCTCAATCTTCACTTTCTCAATTCTGTAAAAAATCATCTCTTATTCTGACTTCTGTGAGCTCTTTAGTATTTTTACCTTTTGCCTTCCCCTCAGATCAGACCTTCAAAGTATTTGGAATTTAAATTGAATTTGACTTTTCTGTAGTGGTTTATGGGAAATAATTCAGTGTAAATTTCCATTCATATTATGGTCCCTAAACTACAAACTTTTGAAACATGCTCTGTTCAAATATGGTTCACTGACTCTGTGCATAATATCTGCTCTTAAAAAACATGTTTTGGCATTTTGGGGCATCAAGCTTGCAAAATATTCATGGAAAAAGTCTTGCTGTCTTTTGAACTGACAGTGGCATAGCCTGAAGAATCAGTAATCTTCACCTCTTTAATCTGCCTTAATCTTGCTACTAAACCTGAATGTGCATCTGAGATTAGATGAGTTTAGAAGACAGGATAAGTGGGTAGCATTAGAGTAGATTGTAGTAATTAGGGGAATCCCTCACACCACATACTACCTAAACAGGTATCTTAAATGAAGTTTCCCCTACACAGGTTTAATTTTCACTTTAACTGTAGATTTTGTCTGTAAAATTCTACATGGGAGAGTAAAACCTCGTAGTCTTTTATTTGCAAAATGCTTCACTTTTGCTAATCCTTCTGTAAACTACAGTAGGAGTTAGCAGACTATTAGGATTCCAGTCTATTTAATCTCACTCAGCAAAGATAAATAGTAATTAACAATAGTTCTGAAATTTATACTCTAATACTCCCACAGTGGCAAACTTCAGGAAAATAAGATTACATAGATTAGTCATTAGCTTTTTTTTTTCCCTGTCCTTAGAATATCTCCTAACCTGCCATTAAGCAACAGATTTTTGCAATAGAAAATTAAATACTCTTCATCATTCATACTTACATCATACATACTCTTCATTAATTCATACTCTTCATGGAAAGTATTCTAAATCTTCTTAAAGTCCTCTTCAATTAATACCAAGGGAATTTAAGTTATTTTAGAGATTACATTCTAAACATAATTACAGAAGAGATCATTTATTCTCACTTTGGGATGCCTTTCTGTGATGAATTATGAGAGAAGGGCTACTTTTGCGTGCATGAAAGCAACCAGATCTAAATGCTTTTAACAAATCTTCAAAGCCATCTATATAGCAACATGTGAGGGGGCCAAAGTCTGCCTAACTTCATTTTCAGGATAGAAATGACAGACTTTCGAGATTCCTATCACCTCTCACATCTACCTTCCTTTAAAGCCAATGTAGAAAGTCTCAAAGATTATTGCTTGGAAACATTCCCTCCACTGGACTTGTTTTCTTAGGAAATGAACTATCTTTGAAAAGTGGCTGGCAAATGAGGGTATAGCTCTTTACACTCTCTTTGGGTAACCAGTCAAGCATTGCAGAGAGAGCGTGCCGTGCTCTTCTAAATATAGCAAATACCAAACACTTCCAACACCCGTGTACTTTGGGTGCATCTACACTAGTATTTTCCTTTGGCTCAAGGGTGTAATTCTGAAGGAAATCTTCCAAGTATCTAACTTGCCTCTTGGCTCATATCACAGAGCAGTTAAAGGGTGCAAACTGCCACATTCTCAGTTAAACTAAAGCACAGGTTGTGCTCCAGTACACAGGTATTCCAGCCATGGGTCTGTACCCAAATGGCTATAAGATAGATGTAGGATCCTCAGCACCAATGTACAGATCAACTTACATCCTTATTTTCCCTTGTAACATTCTTGGAAGCCCCCAGAAGGAATTCCAAATCTGTCTGTCTTCCTTGGGTTTGGACTATTGCATATTCCCAGAGTGGTCCAAACTTCATACCTGGCTACTGTACCTACCAAAGGAAAGCAGATATGGCACACACCTTTGGGAGAATATTTTTCATACTAGTTAACAAGCAAAATATAGTCTGAAAGGTATTAGATTTCTATGTATGTGTTTCAGCCAAAGAAATACTAAATGAAGAGATAAGAGGAGTTAAAAAGAGCTCTGTGAGAAAGATAGTCACAGGTAAATGCTCTCATTAAGTGGAATTACCACCTACCTGAAATAAGAGCCATTATGATTAAGTGTCATTAGACTTTATCTGAGCTGAGCTTTAAGGCTTCTCTAATTTTTCAAGAAAATGTATGTTATAAAGTCTACAACATGTCTTCCCTCCCCCAAGCTTTGGCACCTAGCAACTAAACGTAGAGAATCTGAGAGAGATCTACTAATTACACCCAGGAGTAAAGTCTGTCTATGTATAGAAATGTTTTGCCTACCTGGTAGCTTCTGGGGTTATCTGAGGCTGTCCATTCAAAGGCCATGTTTTCAAATGCTTGTTAACTTGCTGAACTTCATCCCATGGGCCATACATGAAGACATCACTATACAGCAAGCAGTAACTGCAACACAGGATTAAATATTACCTAGATGAGGTCCTGATTTTACCCTTTCTTATACTTAACTGACCTAATCATTTGGCCAAATAATACCACTAAAATAAAGGATTACTCCTGGGAGTTAAGAATTGCCAGACTTCTTCCATAACTGAAGTATTCCAATTGATGGCCTGGGTGAGCCTGAAGGTACCTTCAGTAAAAAGAATTCACCAGTGACCAGCTGGAATAAGAAAATCATTAAGACAGAGGCATAACACAAAATAACTTCTTGCTAAGTTAGAGAAAACACAACATTTAGACTACCTAGAAAATTAGAAAACACGTAATAATAGTGTTTTTCTCTACAAAATAGGTGGCAAGACAAAACAAGAATCACTAAATAGCTTGAGAGACATTGAATCAAATAATGTAAATATTTTTTGTAAATATAAGAAAAACTGAAAGTATATAGTTTGTTTTAAATGTATTAAACATTATGACCTTTTTCTATATTTACTTTATACTGCCTCAAATTTGCTTTTTGTTAGTTTAGAAAAATGTTTATACAAACAAAATATGACATGAGGATGATTTGCAAAAATGAAGTTTACTAATAAAGTACATGTTTATATAAACAAATGGTATCATTACGGTACATTTATATTTAATAATTTCATAATCAAGATATAGCAACACAAATACACGTTAACTACTCTGACTCAAGAAACCATCACTTACAGAATTACCTAGGGAAACATTTTATGATCAATAGTTTTGCGTAAATCTGATCAATTCTGAAGCAAATTATGTCTTGCTATCACTGTGAATATATATTTGAAGAAATTACAAGATATGCCCTATTACTCTTTCCCAGTCTTGCAAATTAGATGTTCCTGTCGCAGGAGAAGATAGCAGTTTTCACCCTTCATCAGTCACGGTCCATTGGTACAGGAGGACCACCTTCATGATCCCAACAGAATACTTAATTCTCTGAGCTCTAAAAAGTGCTACCTACGTTGAAACTAGTGGCTTATGTAAGCTATATTCCAGCAAAGCTCCAAAAAGACTGTATTTTCAGCTATTTTATGACAGAAAATACACCCACTGAGGAGGAACAATTGCGTATCTCAAGGAAGGAATAAGTTAAGTGTATTAAAAAGTGCCTACTGTCTAATACAGTAGGCACTTACTAACTCAGGCTGTGTTCAGTTAAACACAAATAGATTCTCATCTATCATCTCGAGGTTCTTTGAGTAAATTCCTTGCCCTTTTTTGACAATGTGTCCCGGTCTCCTTTCTACCTGTTTCGGGCTATGTCTCTGCTACAGATCTCATGAGGTATGGAGGCGTTACCTGCATCGTGGAACACGGCTACTGCAACAGCAGGGTTCTTCGCTTCATGATCTCTTAAGATCCACAATGTGTCTTTTGGCAAATTGTTGGCTATTAGTACAATTAATTCTCCTTGGATACGATATAAATGAAGAAAATGATTTATTCAACACGTTGCAAAAGGTGCGGATCTTAGCTGCTTCACACAATTACAAACCTCTTCCCACATGGACAAAGCAGGTGTGTTTCCCTTTGTGTTCCCAATAGATCCAGTGTACACCAAGCTTATAACTCCTGACAGACCATTTTTAATTAGAGGGTAACAGCCGTCAAAGGTTAAATTTTAAAATGAGAGTGGAAACACTGTAAATCCCTGATCCCAGAAGGCAACAGTTTCCCCCTAGAAATGTATAGGGTGCGTAATCGCATGGTTTGGGGTGAATCCCTGTGACTGTACCCCTGTGTACAACCATAAACTTTTGGTAGTCGTACTCTCGTCCCGCACCTCCCCCTCAGTAACGGCCGCCGCTCCCCCTCAGTAACGGCCGCCCGGTTTCCCGCGCTCGCCCGCTCGCCGCGTGGCGCCCTACGGCGCCGCCAGGGGGCGGCGTGGCGCCGCTCCGCTGCGCAGCGGGGGCGCCGC